TCTCAGGTCCAAGATCTTACCCTTGAGGGGCACGGTCTCGTCTCGACCAAATTTGGCAATTGTTGCGACAACTGCAATAAAGTAACGTTGGGATAGGCATGTTTGTACCGCCATGCTAGACTAGCCATCCTCCGGAGGTGAGCGGAAAATGCCAGTGCCTATTGCAGTATAAAGACCATCACTATTGGCGACAAGTAGAGCCGAAAGTCAGTTCTCAAGTCAAAAACAGCTGCCAAAGCACCATCAATTGTCACACTCAAACCGACATTCACTTCACTGAACTCAAGATGCTGAGCCACTCCAAGACCTTCATCGCCATACTGGCAGCAGCAGCATATCTTCCTTCCACTCTGGGCTGCATCTGGTTCAATGCCACACTCCACGAAGGCGCCAACAAAGCCAGTTCCGCCGAAGAAGCCATCGACCTCCAAAAACAAAAGACAAGTGGCGGACAAGTCGGCGATGTTCGCCTAGACGTCTACTTCTGGGATGACAAAGACAACGACGATATCGTGGAGCCATTGAAAGACGCTTTCTGTACCGGAGTGGACCTCAAGCCATATGCAGACAATACTTGGGTTGTGCCATGTACACCAGAAGAGAAGCAAGTCGAACTCGACATTGTTTACAACCCGGATATCACAGAAGGTGGAGTGCTTGTCAGTGTCTTCAAGTATAAATATCCGAGAGAGCAAGCGGAGGCCTCGAACAATCCAGACAAAGATCTCATTTACACTTTCAATACTGAGAGCAATGACGCGAAAGGGGAGTTCTTTGAGGATAAAATCTTCTGCAGAGACTGTACGAGTTCTGCGGGTCAGCCTCTGAAGTGTTGATGTGATGATTAGAGACTAGCTGGAAATATTTGTGGTTCACGTCTCACTCAAGACGTAGGATAGCTCTAGAGAAAAGGTACGATTCAATGTGCAATTGAGCGTTCGGGAGGATTTCACTACCTACATCTCATAAACGTTCTTGATATCTCAAGCAGCTCAGCGGCAGCAAGAGACATTTCATCTGCCAACGCTAGAGCCATGTGTCTGTCTGAAAGTCTCCAAGTAGTCGGATGCAGGCGAGATACGAGAACAGACTCCAACCCTGCATTTCAGTAAAGTATACGATGCCCTACAACATTGTTAGAAATGCTTCACTACACTCGTGGTTCTGTCATCTCCTCTTGACTTAATCTTCAAACAACAGCTTCCCTTCCAAACCAGATCTCCTTTCTCAAAGACAGATTCCACAACTCCTCCACGCCCACAAAACACCAAAGATGAAACTCCTCCCAGCCACCCTCCTCCTCTCCCTCTTCTCCACACCCCTCACAACCGCAACCCTAATCACCTACGACGCCGGCTACGACGACCCCACCGGCCCTCTAACAGCAATCGCCTGCTCCACAGGCCCAAACGGCCTCATGACGACCCAAAACTGGAACTTCCAATCCGAAATTCCAACATTTCCATTCATGGGCGGTTCAGCCGATATCGAAGCCTGGAATAGCGAGTTCTGTGGACAATGCTATCAAATCACATATGGCGAGAACACAGTTTATGTTTTGGGAATTGACCGCTCAGCGAAGGGTATGAACTTGAGTAAAGCGGCCATGGATGCTTTGACGAGGGGGATGGCGGTGCAGGAGGGGACGCTTGATGCCGTGGTGGTGAGGGTTGGAGGGGAGATGTGTGGGTTGGGGTGGAAGAGGAGGAGGGGCTTGAGGACGGAGGTTAGTGCTTAGGTGTGTGCTTTCGAAAGAGATGGAATCAGAGTCGAAAGTCGTGCGATAGTATGTATGTTCAGTATGTACATCGAAGACATGAGCCTCGTAGATCATCTCATCTTGATTCTGCCGTGATTCTCGTACAACGTACATTGCTCGCTTCGAATGAGCTTTATTGTGGCTCGCTCGTGCCATCTTTCATGGGTATCCAATCACCATCTGCTGTCCAGGTTCCAGCTTTTGTAAAGTCGGCGGTCCTGCTGCCAGACATATATGCGAATCTGAAATATTCTGGAACTGCGCTCTGCGAGTCGGACTCACGTATCCCAGCACCTTCTTCCGCAAAATCATCGATATCAGAGCTTGACGCGATAGGCAGCATTCCGGGCTCACTTCTCCCCAGATGATGGCGTTTCCATGTCCAAGTGTAGTTGCCAGTTCCGACTAGACCATCACCATCCCAATACGATGAATCGTCTCGAAATCCGCGGAAGCGCTCAACGTCGTTGACGAGGACTGAGACACCATCATAAGTGATACCGAGTTTTTCATCGAATATTGGAAGAGAGCCCATGTTGAAGGTGATATTCTTCGCTCCGATTGCCAATGCACTGATGGCCGGGAGCAAAGAATGTTGAGCAGTACCTTGTAGTAATTCTGCTGGCAGCTCCACGATGGACGCGAAACCCCATCTTGCCACTCCGTTGATGAATAGACCCAGGAGAAGTCCTTGGTAGATCAAACTTGGGCGATTCTGGAAGCTTGTTCCAGGCAGTAACAGAAGTGCCAAAATGTAGTGGTGAATTCGCAGACTGAGTCCTGGGATGGCCAGAAATATGAGTAGTGCCGCGACCATGGATCCATAGATCGCTAGGTAGCGCGGCATTCGTCCTTCCACGCGGAATGCCCAAGCTTGTCCTAAAGCAATGAAGAATATAGCAAGAACAATTGTAATCAAAGCAGGCACAGCTCCCGGCTGTGCTTTGAGATCGTGAGGGGTCAATCGTTGAATCGGGATCCTGTCGAATGTGTAGTTGTTCAAACTGCCCACCCAAGCTGGTCCTAGCCAAAGAATGGTCTTTTCGACCTGCGCTGTCAGTCCTGTCAAGCTTCTCTTGCTCGTAAATCTGTACGTAACATATGCACAGAAGCAAGCGGGCAAGAAACGTCCAAATGCGATACTGAGGAGACCGTAGTAGGTCGTATTTGCAGGCGGGTCAGAAACCAACGCAACGTGGAAGAAAAGAGCCACAAATATGCTCCAGAAGTGGACAGCGGGGTCTGTCGTGAAGAGCGAGACCAGAATCGTGAATATCAAAGTGGGGGCTAGCGCTGGCCAGCGCAAATCCTTGCATTGCGTCCTTGTGCCAGACAGGAAGCCGAATGTGTGCGGGAAATAGCTCGCAAAGCCAGTACTTTCAATGCTGTTTCGATTCACGGAAGGGAGTATGGATTGCTCGCCAGTCAAAGTGAGTACACCGCATCCGCCCTCGATGTCGCGAATGAAACCGGCGTGCACCGCAGAAGCGCAAATGAAGCTGTCGCCGCGGTAGATGGCGTTATCCACAATTCCATCTTCGAACCCCGTCTGCTCCTCTTTTGGTCCGCCAATGACCAAAGGTTTGTAAGTAACCATTTGATCACCAACGGCATGGCCTTGTGTCAACACCTTGTGGCAATCCGCGGGACACCTGAACGCGAGACTCGCATTTGAGAAGGGCCTGCAAAGGTTGCCATTGAGTCCGCATCGATTGTCGTCTCCCCAATATCTTGCTGCGCAGCTCAATCTGATCGGTGTACCGTAACCGGGAATTTGGGCAGCGAATGCTGACCTATGTAGCAGCAAAGAGAACACTAGGAGCCATGAAGCGATTGCGCCTACTAGCAACCAGAATCGATGTATTCTCTTCGGTGTGTAGCGGTCCAGCAAGTTGATGGGCAAATGCTGGAAACTGGGAAAGAACGGTTTGATAGTATATATCCTCGGCGGATCAGGGCCTTTGACCCACGTCACTGTCGCCGCCCATGCTTTCTTCAGCGGCTTCGGTATGCGATCTCCAAGCTTGTTCTGCAATGATGGTCTCGGTCGTGCAGGTGAAGGATCGAAATCGTCGGCCGGAGCGCGTCGCCGGAGGGGCGCATCGGGTCCAATCGTCTCATCGTCGTCGGTATCGGATGGAGAGTCGCGGTAGCGGTCGGTGTGAATGTCGTTGTGGGTGGTGTAGCCGTTGCTGCTGGAGCTCGAGAAGTGAGCTTCCTCGTCGGTGCTACTGCTCTCATATCTGGATGCCATCTTATCGCCGATCTAACCCCGCGGCGGTATCCTCGTCGCAGTTGCCTGATGCTGGTACTGCTATCAACGTATCATATTGCTGTTGTCTGTATAACGATCTGAGGTATGCGACTGTGTTCCAAGCATTCTACAGCAACCAACGCGCGTAAGAGCGATTGGCGACTGCTCCCACCGGGCTCGGAACGACCAAGACCCATCCTTCCACGTGTTCGGCTGGAGCTGTCGGATGCAGGTCCGCTTCAGTAATGCAAGGCCCAAACCATGTCCGTTTTCACAATTCACAACGATAATACATCAACACCCTACCGGATGCTTATAACGAAAGCTGTTGCACGTGTACTTGACCTGGGAAGTCGTGCTATCGGTTATTGAGTCGTCTTCCTCGTTCGAACCAAGTCGCCGGATGTGGAGAGCTATCGCTGCAGTACTTGTAGGCTGCAGGAAGGCGGCAGGCAATTAGAAGACATGTCGAAGAAATGCTCTCGTCCTTTTGACCCATTTGGATGTGAATCTCTTCGAACGGGACAGGGGCCTGTTGATGTGCTCGATAACGCCATGTCTTGCCCCTCTCTCACCATTCGTAGTCGCAGCAATTTATGTATCGAGCAGAGACGAACTCGCAAAAACGCGCCTTCTCAGCATTGCGCAACTCCCTATTCACGAAATTGCTTCTAAGATCACTGCGTTACTGCGAACGTCGACATCGCCAAGCCAACAAAGAGGAACGTGGTCTATGATGCTCAATGCCATCTGTCGACGCGCTTTTTGACCCACTTTTGTCGAACTGATTCGCTGCACGTCGTCCCGTCTCCAGCGCCACACCGAGCGGTCGACGGACTTTATATCAACTCGCGCTTCCTGATTACCTGATCATCGACTGATAAGCCGCGCGGGGAAGACTATAGTTGGACGGAGCATTGATGCGACAATTGCTTTCGTTGTTCTGTCTTGACAAACGACCTGGACTTTTGTGATCAGCCACCGACCACCACGAGACGTCGCGTGCCTGTCATCTGCAACATGGATTCGCGGCCGGAACCTAAAGACCTGTCCCACCATCTCAGCAGAGTCACCAAGAAACGCAACGCCAGCGCTATCAAAGCATTCTACAAATACTTTCAAATTCCTGGTATCGGCCAGCTCGCAGGCGGATTGCCAAATAATTACTATTTTCCTTTCGACACTCTCGAGGCGAAAGTCGCGCGTCCAGATCGCTGGCAGCCAACGCCGAACCGACCAGTCGATAACCCGGGCGACGATGAAGCCCTCGCAGCCCTGTCCTTGGATGACAAGGACAAGGCACGCTCCAAACAAAGCCCCCTGAACCAACCACAAGATGCCATCCTGGTGCCGCACGAATCTCAGCAACCCAATCCCGTCAAAAAGATCGACCTGAACACCGCGCTGCAATACGGCCAAGCGCAAGGCTATCCGCCATTATACTACTTCATCCGCGAGTTCACGCAGCAGAACCTGCACCCAAACACCCCGTACAAAGGCGGTCCGGAGGTGGTCTTGACATGCGGCAACACAGATGGATGGTCCAAAGTACTCTCGGCGTTCACGAACGAATGGAGCGAGGAGAAGGACTGGACAAGAGATCGTGAGGGCTTGTTGGTGGAAGAGTTCGCATACATGAATGCTATACAAAGTGCCGGGCCAAGAGGCTTGACCGTCACGCCAGTGGCAATTGATGACGAAGGTCTGCTGGCTGAAGGACCAGGCGGCCTTCGTGATGTACTAGAGAATTGGGATTACAAGAAGGGGAAGAGGCCGCATCTGCTGTACACTGTTACGTGAGTACAACGATGCTACGCACAATTCCTGCAGCTGACAAGCCACAGTATGGGGCAGAATCCAACTTCTGGCGTCCTTTCGCTTGCGCGACGTCGCGAGCTGTACGCAATCGCCAGCGAGTATGACATTCTGATCATCGAGGACGATCCTTACTGGTATCTGCAATTCCCTTCAGCAACAACTGTCAACACGACGACCACTGCCGACAGTTCCAATACCTCGTTCAACCCAGACCAGCCCATGTTCGCAAATGCCGAGCCTGTGCCAGATGGCTGGAAGTCGAGCGGATATCCCTTCTTAGATTCGCTTGTGCCATCCTTCATCAACATCGATACAGATGGCCGCGTCCTTCGCCTAGACACCTTTAGCAAGACTGTTGCGCCTGGGTGTAGATTGGGGTGGATCACCGGTCAGCCTGCTCTTATCGAGCGAATCCTGCGGATCACAGAAACCAGCACACAACAGCCCTCGGGATTTGTGCAAGCTATGATCTCCGAGCTCATCCTGGGCCCAGATCATGACGGCTTGCAGAAGCCAAAGAAAGATGGCGGTAAAGGCGGCCTTAAGGACGGCGAGGGCTGGAAAGCCGACGGCTGGGTCCGCTGGCTGGAAGGTCTGCGTGGCAACTACGAGAGGCGAATGAACAACATGTCCAAGATTCTCGATGCCACCAAGTATCAGGTCAAGGCCGGCAGACGACCAAGTCTTGTACAGCACGAAGACGATGAAGACGAAGATGAGTGGAGCGTTGTCGAACGGACACAATTGTACTCATTCGATTGGCCTGTTGGCGGCATGTTTGTCTGGCTCAAGATTCACTTTGATGAACATCCACTGTTCAGAGAATACAAGAAGCGCGGCGAGCTTCAGCGATTGGGCAGAGCACTCTGGATATTCTGGACGACTTCTCCATACAAAGTCCTAGCCGCTCCAGGAACTATGTTCTCTCCTACAGAAGAGATCGCCGAGAAGAAAGGATGGAAGCATTTCCGATTGTGCTTCGCCGCGATCGACGAGGAGGACCTTGGTGGGGTGACGCAGAGGCTGGCAGACGGTGTTCATGCCTTTTTCAGGATCAAAGATGCGAAAGCAATTGAGAAGATCTTGGAGGAAGATGCGGATGAGGAGCGAATTCTGGGCAAGGAAGGTTTGGTCAATGTGGGTATGACAGCAACAGGTTGTTAGAAGGCAAAGTGGCATGCCACTATGGTCCGGGTACATACAGACCGAGTGATATATACGATCGAAATGATTGAACGACCGGTGAATGACATCCTCACTGTACCACATCTTTTGCCACCCAAGCTTGGCACCAGCCCAAGCTTTCCTCCCACCACCACTTCTTGCTTTCTACCAAGGAAGTGCCGCCAATAGAGGCATATGCAGCGACAGATGCGCAGGGCAACAACACCCTTAGGAATCGCTCCCGAAAATCCTCCTGCGTGACGACTGCACACGAATGCATTGATGAGAGTTTTATCCTCCCGCGAGGCGGCAACGCGCCACAAGCATATGACAAACAAGTTTGAAGTCACTATGTCCACATCAACCAGTAACTGCCGAATCCCGAGCAGCGCCATGCAGACTGCTCCACATCGTGATGGCGCTCAGCTTGCGCTTGCAGGGCCCGAATTTCTCCTGCAAGCGACATGCGGCCTCTGCAATATGAACGGCAATCTTTTCAACTGATTGGATTCTACAGAGTGACATCGTGCGAAACATCTGGCAGATTCGAAGCTACCGCCACTCACCTGCAGCATTTTATGACTCTACTTGCCAGGCAACAAAGCTGCGCGTCAAGAGCTGAGACTGTGGCGGTGTCGTGGCGTGCTATAAAACCAGAACAACCATCGCTTTTACCGGAAAGAGGAAGATTGCTCTACGCCCTGTCGCTTGCTACATCAGCATTCAAATCATTGTTGAAAGCGCCCTGTCGCTTGCTACTTCAGCATTCGAATCATTGTGACAGCGCCCTGTCACCTGTTAAAAGTGACAAGCTGACGTGCGTCTCATCACTAACTCCTTCACTGAGACAATGGATTTTCGCAAACTGGTAAGGGCCATGCCAGGGCCACAGATGCTGCAAAATAGCACAGATCCTCTGTCGCTGACAGAACTACCACCCAACATCCTCGAGGCTCTGATCCCGGGGTATGGCTTGATCTCACGATACGTGTACGCCACTCTCGGATTTGATCCTTCCATCTTTGTATCAGTCGGTCTTGTGGTGCTGGCAATATTGAAGGGAGGTCAGTACCTCTACGCGATACTCGAATCATGGTTCCGAAAGGCCTTCATTTCGAGCGTGTACATAGACGAACAAGACGACTTGTTCGAAATGGTGATGGAGTGGCTGGCCAAGAATCAACGCATCGGGTCCAGGCGATCGTTGACAGCCAAGACACAGACAGGTTCGAAAGCGGAAGATGGCTCAGTTGATGCTGCCGACGATGCGTTGGACGAGAATGGCATCTTCGACTACACCAAGTGGAGCTCGAGACTGCCTCCTCGATTCGAGCCCTATTATGGGCAGAACTATGTGTTCCATAATGGCACAATTTTCTTCTTCAAACGGTCGCAGAAGCAAAGTAATCAGCGAGTCCAAGTGACCTTCAGTGGGAATACACAAGACGACCAGATCCAGCTGGACTGCATCGGACGAAGCACAGAACCTATCAAGGCCCTCCTCAAAGCGATCAAGATCTGGTCGCTGAATCGACAACGAAATGTCACCACCATTCGACATCCCACACCAAAAGATAGAGCTCGGTATGGTGGTTCTTGGACGAAGACCTCCTCGAGACCATCGCGGCCTATGGAGACTGTCATTCTCGACCCTCAGCAAAAGTCCATGATCATTCGGGATATGAATGAGTACCTTCACCCAGCTTCACCAAGATGGTACGCAACTCGCGGCATACCTTATCGACGCGGCTATCTGTTTCATGGACCTCCTGGGACAGGCAAGACCAGCTTGTCGTTCGCGCTAGGAGGTATCTTCGGTCTCGACATTTATGCCATTAGTCTGCAAGAGCCTACATTGACCGAAGGTGACCTGCTTCAGCTCTTCAATGGCCTACCAAGGCGCTGTATTGTCCTATTGGAGGACGTTGACGCCGCTGGATTGCTCAGAGATGCGCAGAGTGGCAAGGACAAGATCAAGGATAAGAAGGATGACAAGAAAGATAAGAAGGACGGCAAGACAGGAGAAGAGAGCAAAGAGAAGCCTAAGAAGGACGAAGACTATACCTTGAAAGATCTGGCTCGGGAGCTGAAGGCCATTAGCACACCTGCTCGAGGTCAAGGCCGTCAGCAGCCTGGCAATCGGCAGAACAATGATCTCGGACCAAATCGCCAACCAGCTACAGGCATATCACTGTCAGGACTTCTTAATGCTATTGATGGCGTCGCCAGTGCAGAGGGTCGTGTTCTGATCATGACCACGAATCATCCAGAGAAGCTCGACGCGGCACTTGTACGTCCTGGTCGAGTTGATCGTAGAGTCGAATTCCAGCTGGCGATGAAGGAGCAGATCAGCGAGCTTTTCGTGAGAATGTACGCTGCCAGTGACCAGGTCCCAGACATTGAGGTCAAGCTCGATGGCCGTGTCTCGAATGGACGCGCGAAACTCGATGGACTGCCCAAGACGAACGGACACAGCAATGGCAATGGGCACACGCGTGGTCCGTCTGAGAACCAGCTGTCTGGGCTATCGGAGTTTGATATCGAAAACCTGGCAGTCGAGTTCGCAGGCCATATCCCTGATAATACTTTCACGCCCGCGGAGATCCAGAATCATTTGATGAAGTACAAGAAAGAACCGCGCACGGCTGTGGAGTTGGCTGAGAAGTGGACGCAAGACCTGCTGGCTGAAAAGGAGAAGGATGCGGTCGCGAGAGAACAGGCTGTCGAGAGTGAGGATGAGTGATAAAGGCGAGTCGTAGATGAACTCGTATAGACCCGAGAAGTACTGCATGTACGCTGTTGATCCTCGCGCCATCATGTGGTTACTAATCGCTTTGGTTGCCTTTGATGCAAGTGGTCGCTACCTGCCTGCCTGCGACATGGATCACATGTGATATACATACAAGTACTCAAGCCTGATTCCCACACATCGTGTCGACACAAGTCTGTCTCTCAAGTCTGTCTCTCAAGTCTCGTCGCGAGTTGCAAAATTCGCAAAGTCGAACCGAACCAATGTCGATCCCGAATATTACAGTTACAAGCTGAACGTTTTTTGACAACTGAACCCATGGTGATTGGCGCTTTCCGCGGATCGCGGACGAATTGAGCGCATGGCGCAAGGATCTGCCAACCAATCTTGTGGGTTGCAGCTTCGTTCAGTTCGAAGTTTGGGCCAAACACTGACCCCCACCAACACACTCGCAAGATCGACCAACTGCAGTGGCGCTTTTTTGTCTGTCGGCTCGTAGGAATTCCGTTGCTTGTGGCTGCTGACTAGTGATTACTATAGGGTCGGTGTAGAATGTGAGGTAGGATTTGGACTTCACCTTTTTGTGCTTTCTTATTTTCTGTTTCTTTACTGCTTGTTTGACTACTGACTGGAAGCTTCGCCTTGACGTGTGGCGATCGCGACTTCAGTTTTCGCGGAAGTCGTACGGTCTGGATCTGGAAGGAGGTACAAGCCTCTAACCTCTGGAGGAACGGTCCTGAATATATCATACCTGGACTCCTTCAACATGGCCTTGATACCCTTTGAGGTCGCGAGCACCCACACATTGCTGCTGGCAATTGGCTCCCTGCTCGTCTTGACCAGCCTCATCCTTTACATCTTCCACAAGCCCGCTTTCCCTAAGAATGCTCCCAAAGTCACCAACCATGACAGCATACCGCTGATCGGCGCTCTCAAGTTCTTTACTCGGCGCATAGACTTCATGAAGAATGGACAGAGTCACTCTTCCACTGGAAACTTCAGTTTCTACGCCGGTATGCATCCCGTTGTCGGACTCTCAGGCAAATCGGTCGAGCAACGACGCGTTTTTCTTGAGGATAAGCGATTGGGGTTCAGCGAGGGCTATGCTGCACTCCTCGCCGGCGCGCCCGAAGTTAAGAAGAACAACAACATCTTGGCGGAGAAGAATGGCGGCGTGGAAATTTCACAGTACTTCACTACTCGTCTGGTAGCAATGCTGAAGGGAAATGTGCTAAGGGACCGCTTACCTCAATTACTGCAGGATGCACGCAAGGCCCTGGATTCTCTGGCCCAGCAATCAGAGAAGGTCACGAATCCTTTCGAATCGATTTATCGCATGGTCTTCCAGTTCACGATGAGGACGGTGGCGTGCACTGAGATCGCGGATGACCCGGTGAAGCTAGAGCAAGTTCTGAAGTTATTCGAACAGATCGATGCGGCCAATACGCCTACTCAGATCATGTACCCTTGGGTTCCAACACCTTCGAAGTTGAAGCGTCTGATGGCTGGTACAAAGCTGTATATGATGTTCCAGAAAATCATCGATGACCGAAAAGCATCTGGGCGACAAGATGATGATGCTTTGCAATTCTGTTTGGATCACGGAGACAATGTCACTGATATCATCACCTTCGTGGTTGGAGCATTGTTTGCAGGACAGGTCAACAGCGGCATCAACTCAGCTGCGGTCTTGTGCTATCTCGCCAATAACACCGAGTGGATGAAGCGTGTGAGCGACGAAGTCGAAGCGATCGCGGACAAATATGCTCCGAACAAGGACTTGCCACTAAAAGAGCGTCTAATGCACATTCCTATCGAAGCGTGGGAGGGCGAATTCCACGCAATGGACTATTGCCTCAAGGAAACGATCCGGTTGCAAATGTGCGGGACCGCTTTCCGGAAAAACTCCTCGAATTCGGACGTCGTGATCAACAAGCAGACTGGCGAGGTGATTCCAGCAGGCTACTACGTGGCCATGGCCGTCGATGACATGCATCTTAACCCAGACTTGTACCCCAATCCTCGAGAGTGGGACCCTGCAAGATATTCTCCTGAGAGAGCAGAGGACAAGAAGGAGACGCATGCTTGGATGGGATGGGGTATGTGTTTACTTTGCGAGCACATTTCCTGCTCACTTGCTAACGTTTTTCTAACAGGTGTCGCCCGCCATCCTTGCTTGGGCATGCGCTTTGCCAAGCTCGAGATCAACCTCATCGTAGCCTTCTTTCTGGCATATTTGGATAACATACAGTTACTGGATGAGCACAAGAAGCCCAAGACGCGGACCTGGGATGTGGATCGCAACCGTCATGGTTCGTATAAGCCTACGGAGACGACTTATCTCAGGTATCGGGTGCGACCAGAGTAGTACCTTGTTGCTGGGAAATTCAGAAGACAATTCTTCATTTCATTGCGTGTCACTTTTCCTCGTTGCATCTCTAATCATAAAGTGATTCCGATACATCGTTCCTTCGACTCTGGAATTGTTAATGAAAGTGTCGAGATGCCTCGCTTCGCGATATCCGGCTTTCTCATACAGTCGGACTGCATCTGGCGATGCCTCAAGGAAAGCTCGTACGCCTTGATCATCGGCTTTCTCCAAACCATACTGCATCATCAACGATCCCGCGCCTTTGCCTTGATAAGCAGGGTCCGTTGCTATGATTTCGAGATCTACAGAACATGTCCCTGTACGTCAGTTTGCCACTCCTTACAACAACGTAGAGATAGGAAAGGATCAGACTTACACCAATGTCCCTCCTTCCCCATCAAATCCCTATGCGCTCTCGCCCACGCTCCAAATGTCTCATTGCACAATTCATGATCCGCTCCCTCTGGCCATTCTGGTAGGTTCGTATCTGGCTCCACTCCAGGTTTGGGCTCTTGCCATTTGACGAATCCTGCTATGGCACCTGTTTCGTTTGACACGGCTTTCAACCAATGCGCTCCAGGCTCGTCGAGTTCGGATCGGATCATGTTCTCCCACCAAGCTCTGATGCCGGGTGTTCGAGGCCAGCAGGCGAGAGAATGTGGGTTTTGAAAGGCGGAGAAGTAGATTGTGACGCAGTGTTCAACGTCGGCTTCTTGGAGGGGTTGGAGAGTGAACGCCATCTCTGCCTCGAGAAGTCAATAGTTGGCTTGAGCAGCTTGACCTGGCGTTCTTGTAGTCACGAAATCCCGGGAGATGGTCGAACACGCCGGTGTCCAGGTGGAGACATCTCAATGAGAGTCGCTGACTAAGCTTTTTCGAGGCCGAATATAGATTGGAGCTGCAATAGTGAAGTCTTTCTTGTGAGGTTGGACTTGTCATCTCTCTCTTCTGACGTCCTCTGATCGCCTCTTGGCCGCTGCGACAGCCATTTCCACTTCGGCATTCAATCGATCTTGCTTGAAGTGCAATCGCTCTTCTCTTTGAATCGTTTCAGGCGGAACGTATCTTGTCTTTGCAGCTCGGAATCGTTCACGTCGCTGTCCTAGCCTCTTCTCCTCATCCCGTGCTTCGTTCTCGTCCTCTGCTGAAGGCTTTGTCTTTGAGCTGGACTTCGATTTGCGGTTTTTGTCATCGGTCTTCTTCTCCAATGGTCTCTGCTGATGCCTGCTGCTTCGAAAGAATGATTTTATTGACCACTTCTCTTCTCTGTCATCTTTCTTAGCTCTGGGTTGACGTCCATCGTGCACGCTGTCCCGCCGAGAGTCCTTTCGTGAACGACGGAGAGATTCGTCGTCACTACTGCTAATGCTGCTGCCATCAGACCATTTGGTGTTGGAGACCTTTCCAATGACCTTCTCGCCCGTTTCGGTCTCCACCAAAGCGTTGACCGCCTCTCCTCCAAGTTCGAGAAAGTCCGGATTCACCATGCTGTGGTTTTAAGCTCTCAGAGCTTGGCCTGAATCACCTCGTAAAGCTTGGATGATCCTTGTAACACGAAGCTTGGTACAGTGCTGGGATCATCTCCGCGGAGAGATGCCTGCATGGGAATAAATACAGTATCAGTTCTTTCCAAGCTGTATCTTCACGAAATGCGCTGCTCTCAAGATCAGCGTGTGGAAAAGCAGGTTTGCTGCAGTGTTAGCCAGGACATGACGACAGTGTACAAGACGGCTGTGGCTGAGGATCGTGGTACCAAGCCGGGCGCTTGACTCGCTTCAACAATTACATGTTTACTGGCGCTGGAATGTGCAATGGCGAATGCTCATACAGAGCAGTACGAATCTAGAACGGCAGATATGCTTCAGGACTTTTGTGACGCTACTCCATGCATAGAGGCGTTCCTTTGATCCCTTTCTTCAAAGCAATTGTTGGTTTTACCGCCAAGAATGGTACAGGTTCGTGGCAGGCAGTCTGGTTGGCATGGCCGCCAACCTTCACGCACCCACGTGGCACGTGTCTAGATCTCGATCTCAGTGAGTCCTGAGTCCTATCTCATCAAGCGTGCGGAACTACATCTGTAGTCCAAACATGCCTATTTCCTGAGGGTATGTAGTTCTTTCTTTGTTTCTTGGAACAGGGCTGCATGGAAACTCTTGGGAAGATGAATGAGTGCTTGCATGGCTTAGAGCGTCTTAGCGAGGGCAGAAAGCAAGGTGTGCGGGTGCACAAACCGGTTATTTTGGATGTGATGAGAGAACAACAAAAAAAGGGAAGACAAGAGGCGGTGGAAGCGAAGCAACCCCAGACCAATCACATGAAGCCCCACTTCAAGCTTGACTTGTCTTGGCTCGGAAGTCGACAAGGGCAGGAAAGTCCCTTGTCTTGTCTGTTACTTTCCATCTTCATCTCCCGCGACCATGGTCAACTACCGCAAAAATGCTCACAGACAGGATGCATACATATATGGAGCAGAAGTTGCAGAACACGTCGCGTCCTTGAAGCTGAAAACTCTCGCCAATTTGCTGCCGGCTGCTGATCCACATGTCGACAACCCAGTCTACAAATTAGCCGTCTCTTTTTCAAAAAAGACTACCACAATGCACTGATCGCACCATACCGCACGAGTATTTCAAATCGGCTGCATGACATGCTTCGCCGTCATGGATCACGAACAAGTAGCGCGCAAGGCTTTCGAGCTGCGCCAGGTGCTCGATAAGGCCATCAACCTTGCCCGTGAACAAGGGACCAGCTTGGAACCGGAGACAACAGCAAGAGAGGCAGATTGCATCAAAGCCCGTCGCGAGCTCACTCAACAAGCAAGCCTGATCTGATGGAAGACGTCAATCATTCAGCCTCGATATATGGCACAAGAACACCGATCTATGGGCCTATTCAGGAGTGACAAGAAGACGATGGAAGACGACAGGCTTGCGATACGTCTAATTTAAGCTTAAAGTGTATTGCCTGCCACCCAGGGCTCTTGTTGACGTATCATCACCATGATGAAGACCATGAGTTAGGCCTCTTGCGAAATCATCCGCCAGTTACTGTGTGAGCATATTTCCCTTCTGTGGGGACGAAGTGTACGACATCGAACGACCCACCAATCCAAGGCTGTCAGGCGTCAGAAGAGGATGTGAAGAAACCACAAACGGGGGTAAGACGAATTTCGGATGCGCCTCCTTCCGCGCGCGGTGATACGAACTCCAAGCTGGGTACGCAGAGCAGTTCGATCGCGGGCTGGAATCGAGCAAGGAATGCTTTGCTCACTCCCACCTTCCCCGCTCAGTCTGTGCATATATATTGATGGCGCGGACGAGTGGTATCTTGCAACTGATTCAATTTCCAAGGACGACGCGTCTCCGCTAGAAGAGAGTGCTACTGCGTGCTCAGCAACTTTAACACAAGGCTTCTCAATTCATCCGACATGAAAGCTTTTATTCGCATCTTTCTTGCGGCTGTGGTACTTCAACCTTTATAGGAGTCTCGAGCTGTACTGGTTTCGCTGACTAGACACTCTGCTTAGGCGGTCGTTGTTCTAGCTGCTCCTATCCCTGTAGAGGAGAATAGCGTGGCTACTGGTCAGCTACTCAAGGTGGCAGAGAAGTGCGAGGATGTATGTTTTGCGAAGCTGTCGTTCATATTTCGCTACATTCAAAAGTCCTCCAGGCTGACAGCTACAATAGGGTCGCGAGAAGTGTCCAGCGCACGGCTGCCCCTGCAGCGGATGGCATGGTTTATAGGTCAGGTGTTCGAGGACTTTTTTGCGCACGCAGGTTATACGGCGTTCCGGCTTCTTCCCATCATATCAAATGGAACTTATGAGGATTACGATTACGATCTCAAACATGTCTGAGACTGTCATTAATTCATCTTAAAGTGGTGGTAGGAGCAAATGCCAACAAGCACATCGACGAATGTGCACGACTGCTTGTCATTATTCATCAAGGGGTCGACGAGTAGAGCATGAAAGTCACGAATATGTAGAAATCCACAATTGATCGTCGGCATCAAGGAGCGCGCTTATTGTAGCATACGATACTGTGGTAGATAGATCTGGTTGGGATCCCACTTTCCATTTTGCTAGATGCTCGAGCAGAACAAGTCCTACTTGAGTCTCGACTCGTGCTGTTTATTTCGAATGCCATCTCAGTGACACTGTGTTCGTGAAGCTCGTTGCAACAGGTGTCCTCTGATCATTTGTCTTGTCGATGCATTTCATGGACTGGTTTCACTTGAGGAAAGTCATGATGTCAAGCGTGAAATGTCTTGGCATTTCGCTCTCGGACACCGTGAACAACCGGTGAATGTTGAGCTGGCCAACCTCACCCTCTTCTCAATCGTGCAAAAGCATCTCCAATATGAACTACGGTATGTAGCATGCTTCACCTGATCATGATCTTCTACTGACATGTTGTAGATTCCCTGGTCGAGGCCGTCGTCGATGGCGGCTATCTCCCCGAGTTCCTGCTCCGAAGAGGGATACGCGGCCAGCTTCAACAGCGCATCAACCTCATCAGGACCACAAGTCTAGCAGAGAGCTATGAGACCAAGATGAAATATGTCGAACTATTACGGAGTCGGCCAATCGCGATTGAGACCGCTACGGCAAACCAGCAGCATTATGAAGTCGGAACTGGCGTGTTGACCGGCATGCTCGGGCCTCGAATGAAGTACAGTTCTTGCCTCTATCATAAGGGTACGGAGTCTCTGGCGCAAGCTGAGATTGCCATGCTTGAAAGTTATGTGGAAAAGGCGCATCTGAAGGACGGCATGCGGATTTTTGATCTCGGGTGAGTACGCCAAGGCCTTATACATGATTTGCCTAACAGGATATCTATAGTTGCGGATGGGGCTCTCTATCTCTCTATCTGGCCGAAATCTTCCCCAACTCAAAAGTAACAGGCTTCTCGAATTCGCGAACACAAAAAGAGCACATCGACTCTCAAGCGAAGCAAAAGAAGCTCTCAAATCTCGAAATCGTGACAGGCGACATCTCTACATACGACTTCTCAGGCACTTCCCTCGAAGGCCAATTCGATCGCGTCCTCTCAATCGAACTTTTCGAACACATGAAAAACTACGAACTCCTCCTCGCCAAAGTTTCAACTCTCCTCAAACCAGCCGGCAAACTCTTCGTCCACATCTTCGCAAACAAGGACTCACCTTACGATTTCGAGTCAGGCTGGATGACAGACCACTTCTTTACTGGTGGCACAATGCCTTCTGCCGATTTGCTGCATTTTTTCCAACGCGATCTCAGGCTAGAGAGACAGTGGTGGGTGAGCGGGAAACACTATGCAAAGACTTGCGAGGACTGGCTTAAGACTATGAATGCGAATAAGAAGCAAATATGGCCGCACCTGGAAGAGACTTATGGGAAGCAAGATACTGCGAAGTGGTTCTATAGGTGGCAAGTGTTCTATCTGGCTTGTGCTGAACTTTTCGCGTGGAACGGAGGCGAGGAGTGGGGTGTGTGCCACTATCTATTCGAGAAGCCCAAGAATTGAGCTTCCGAAATAGACTCGCGTGGAGTTTGGTTGCGATATCACCAGACGGTTGCAGTGCAGTACTGTGTAAAAGATGATACGAAGGCAAATAGACATAAAGTAGTTGGCATCTGATGAGTTCGACAACATATTCCATTCTCCTTCCGTATCCCCAGGGGCTCCTCGTTGAGGGTATAATTGTAAGCAACTGCGTTACCCTGTTAAGACGAGCGAAGAGAATTGGTAAGTGGCCGGCTCGAATGTAAACGAGAATGTCATTCATTGGTTCCTCGATATAGTAAGAAAGATTTGTAACGCTATGAAGAAGACCACATGATCGCAAATGTTAGCACGTAGTGACAATATAGCAATCTTTGTCCCATAGCGTAAAATCGGGCGAATTAGGCTTCGTCGCCATGGCGATATCAAACACTTTGCGGTTGTACAGCGTACATTTGCCCTTGTTGGTGTAGCTATAACTCTGACAGCCGGCGTTCAGCAGACACTCGTTGCGGCATAGAGTATCGCTGCCAATGTCGAATTCCTTGAATAGCTTTGGTTGCGGATTGGTAAGGACCTGGGAAGATTTCGCAAATCTACCACAGATTGTGTTCTTGGGCTTCGATGGGTTGTCTTTGACCAAGCCTGGTGTGCAGGCTGGCCTGGGCGGAGTGGGAGTTCCGGTGGCGCTGCCTGTACGGGAAGTTGTCGTGGTTGTCGAAGGAGGTTTGTTGTTATTGTTGTTTCCTCCGGAGAGTCCGATGCCTCCACTGTTGAGTCCGTTGCCGCCCAAGCCAGCTCCCGATCCTGTGCCTTGGGGTGTATAATCTGGCAGTCCGTCACCGCCGCCTGTCCTCTCGAAAGAGAGACATTTCGGCTCGATGAGGTCGATCTTGACTGGGTCCATGAGATCGTAGGCTCTTGAGCCAATGTATTTGCCTTGTAGCACAAATTGCAGAGTGTTCGAGAAGAAGAGCGACGCTACGATACCATAGCAGCCTTCATTCACGTCTGTGCCAAATTTGTTTGGATTCGCACCAAGCGCGGCAGTGGCCTCAAACTTGCCCTCGGCGACAATTTTCGGTGTCTCCACGAACGAGGCGTCGGCCTCCCATGTACCTTCAAGGATGTTGACCCCCAGTCCAATCTTGACAGGCAAGCCCACGTACAGCTGAGCGTTGAGCTCGCCAGACACAGAGAAGTTGGGCTCGTATCTCGGTGACCAGCCCCGACTGAAACTCTTGGACGAATCCAGTAAGTCCAGTTCGATCTCGATTTGGTCCCATACCACGCTCGAGCCAATAAGCAAGTTCCCACTGGCCTTGATCTCCATTCCGAGGAGGAGGCTGAGCTGGATGAAAGGACCGATGTCAGCCAGTAGCGGGATCTTCCATCCTGCAAGATTGATCCTGGCTAGTTGCTTCAGGTACTCCTTCTTGTAGAGTGCGTAGGCCTCGAAGCCTGCATTAGCTCCTGCTTTCATCTGCAGCTTGAAGCCGACCTTCAGCTTTGTAAGTGAGAAAGTAGGCAGTTCTCCGCCCATGGTTCCGTATATGGTTGCTTGGCCTCCAAAGCCGCACTGCACGCAGTACAACTTGACGCCGTATTCTAGGCCGCCGGACACTTTGCCAGGTTTGGGTCCCTCGAACTTCTTCACATCTTTCGACAATTCGCCTTTCTCCCACGCCTTCTTGGTGTCATTCTTCACGCCTGGCTCGTCTTTGCCGACTTTCAGAAGTCGCACTGCGTTTGGCCAAGGGGCATCTGAATCGACACCGAGGATGTCGCTTGCGTACACACCGAATCCGAATGTGAAGTCCAGGGTTTCTTCCACGTCGATAAGACCTCTTCGTCGGAATGCTGGATGAGGCGCAAAGATCTGTGCCACGAAGGAGCGACTGGTCAGTACGATGTCATATATCAGTTCTCAGGCCAGGTTGGGATGCCACCTACATGTCTCTTATCGTGGGCCCGCTTGATAGGCAGGACTCCCACATCGCCCCATGACAGATCGAATCGCAGGCCAATTTGCTTGTACGTGGATTCGGCACCTGAAGCGGTGAAAGTCTTGCTGTTATCCGAAAGGGCGACAGATCTCGCGAGGAAGTAGTCGTTCTCTTCATCCTTGCCACAGCCTTGAACAGCTGTGACGAAGATGATCGGGCTATTGGTTGGCCACCGCTTCTTCACGTACGCGTAAGCCTTGTCCGTCAACTTTGCAGTGAGTTTACCGTTTGAGCAGGATATTTGCGAAATGTAGGTTGAATGATCTAGCGCGACAGTTGGGTGACGGAATTCGAAAGTCGCCTGTGTGAGGACCGCCGATCCATCTCGTCGAAAGACTCCTTTTGAGGTGTTTGTGTTGCTGGACCCAGCCCAAGCCAGGGTAACATTCTTCGCTGTAGCCAAGGTCAAGAGAGCATCTTCATCAATCATCGGTGGTATTATGGGTTCGAGAAGCGCCCGCGGAGCGTTGCCTGCTGTAGTCTGCTCCTGGCGGGGGACGTTGTGTCGTACATTGCTGTAGAACTCCGGAACAGCAGCAACTTGTTGACAGGTGAGCAATGCAGCGAGTGTGCGTGTGATAATGCCTCGTGGCAACAACATCGTGAATGAAGAGATTCCCGGAGATGTAGAAGGACGATCCACGAGAGGTCCAGGTAGTGGATACTGAATATTCCACACCTACCAGTGAGCCAGTCTACACACTCGGCAAGGGAGGAGCTATCAAGGATATAGCGGCCATGTGGCAATGCATGGCTTCCTTTCCTGGATACCAACTTCCAAGCCATTGCGCGATCGAGCCCACGTCCGGCCACTTCTGCGGCCATAACTGAGGAGCAGTAGTTGTGCCCAGATCTGGCGCCATCTACCGTTCCATAGGACAAGCTGTGGGCCATGTGATCCCTATGGGCGTCCAGAGGCCTCCTAGCAAGCAAGCTTCATTGAGGATGGTCAACGGATAGCTGCACATTAGCGTACAAAGTGGTCTGGAAGCGATCGCGAATGCCGAACAGCGTAAGGGACTGGAGCACCTGTGAGTCGTATGGCTGAGACGACCTCGAACTAGGATGGCGCTACAGAGCCACCTTCGCTTGGCAATTGTCTCTTCTCGAACACATACCGCATGCAGCACGTGGTAGATAGTGCCTTGGCTAGGACGCCACGAGTCTTCAGAAGTCCCCGATCCAGTAGCGAAACCCGTCACTTCTGTGAGCTCTAGGCAACGGTCTTTCGGGTTCAGGTAACGTTTGACAGTGTTCAGATCTCAGCGCCCAGGGGAGCAATGGCCCGGGTCACTGATGATATGCGGTCGTCTAGATCTGTTGTTGTGTTCGAATCTCCATCGTCACTACCATGCACACTCTTCGAGTCAGGCCAGTCAGCGTCAATCTTGATTATCTTCATGAAGCCTGATCGGTAGAGACGCCACAAATGCCGCCAATTGCCACAGCCACGTGCAGCTTGGGTCAGCGTTGACCTGCATACAGGGCGACAAGCGTTGTCTGTGCCTCTAGCCTGTCTTACCTCGTGGTCCAGATCAACATCTGGCTTGCTGCACGCAATAGATCGTTCAGCGTCGCTTGAGAGCAAGTCACATGCGCTTACGGGATTGGTGACAACTCTGCTATGCCAAAACACGCAGCGTAATGGAGTTACTTTGCCCACCAGCTGACGATGAGACAGTTCGCGACCGTCCAAACGTCCAGCATGTGTGGCTTGAAGTAGCCAATTGTGGACAAGGCGTTGCATAGAAAAACCTCCGTGGCATGTCTCTCGGAGCCGATGCAGCACTACTGCATCACACGCCTCGATTCCATATGGGAATAGTTGTATCCTGCCTGAACGGAAATCAAGTGTTCTCTCATGCAGGTCTCATCTCAGTCATCAGAACTCCAGGCGAGAGAGCTGATGTAGATCACCGGCAGCGGCAAGACAGCTCGAGGGCCTCCATCGTTCGTTGTGCTCCAAGCGTCTGTTTCGATTGGTAACTTTACCAAGCGCGTTGCGTGACCCAAACTCTTCACCCCGGCTGCTTCGAGCAATGACTGTCGTCTTGGCGCATGGCTTGGCTCTGCATCTAGAGCTTGTAGCGACGCAACTTTAACTTACAGCTCTCTCGCCGCGATGGGTCAAGGTCGTCCGAACAGAGTTACTGTCGGCTCCCAGCTGGTACAGGATTTCCGAAAGCGGCTCTGGCGTTGTCTCGGATAAGTCCGTCGTACGCAGTCTCGATTCTGTTCTACTGGTGCTGTTTGCAATTGAGCTCAGGACATGTTCGTGGAAAGAGTATCGCGTGTTCGATAGGAAGCATATGCCACGTGCTGTGCAGAAGGCTAGATCGCATGTGGTACTCCACGACGTTGACCATGATGCTGTATTAAACCAGAGTCCGCTTGGTTAGATTGTTGTTGTTCATCTTCGCAGCAAACCAGCTTCATCGCCTTCGCTTCCCCGACTGCATTGCTGTCTTGTTTCTCAGCATGATGTCTATCGTTCAGATTGCAGCGCTGCTGCCGCTACTCCTGGCTTCTGCTACCGCTCAGTCCATGACCTGCCGGACGACGCTGGGCACCAAAGCAGTGAATCCTGTACCAACATCAACCATAGTATCAACTTCTGCATCTCGACCTACGCAAACACTGGTCGTCCAGAAGACAGTGACCACGTATCTTGGCCTGACCTCGACTTCAATGCGGACTGCAACGAAGACGGAAACCGTCACGGACACCACAGACACAGACACCTTCTATGTCACTTCGACATTTTTCGACGTCCAGACTTTCCGTGCCACGACGACGATGACCACCACCACGACCGATACCATCACCACAGCCACGACGTCCACCACGGTTACTCCTACCTCCGCAGGCTTCCTGAATATCCGTGATACTCTGAACAGAGGATCAGTCGCCCGTAGAGCGATGGAGAATCCTCACAGCCCAGTGAAGAGGGCTTTGCTGAGCGGAAAGCAAGGTGTTTTGGCCCAGACGAGACCAAATAGGGTTGTTTGTAAGTTCATCCTGCGAGACGCATGTCCAGAGCCGCTTTCTCAAGTTCCTCATTGGCCGTGATTGATGTCGACTAACCGTTCTTGTTCCTGCTAGGCACGAGCTACGCAAAGAACACCAACACCTTCACTTCTTACACAACTCTTGCCGCCCAGACATCCACAAAAGCATACTGGTCCCGCACCCTCATCAGGACGACAACTGTCACTGTCCAGACAACCATCATCCCTGAGGTCGCCACAGAAGTTATCACCGAGGTTTCAACCAGCAAGGTGCAGACCACCACCACTCTCATCGAAACCGATGTCAGGCGCGCAGTCACCACCACAACGGAGAGCCTTCCTGGTCCCACCATCTTCAACGCCTGCAACCCCAACAACGAATTTGGTGCTACATTCCGCAGTGGTAATGAGCCATTCTACGTTGTCAATGTTGCGAACAATGGCCCGAATGTCGCATCCAACTTCGAGACTGTCGCCGATGGTGCTTCTTCGGCCCTCGAGTGCTGCAACGCTTGCCAACGTCTCAGCACGTGCGAGACATTTGTCTTCAGAAAGGCCTTCCGGAACTGCTTCCTGCTTTCTCATCCTGGTGCTACTTGTCGCTCGCAGAGTCAGCCCAACTTCATTCTTTCTTCCCCGGTGGTTGAAGGCGGAGACATAAGCGACGGAGCTGTTGTAGGCAATGGCAACTGCGGATACGTCTGGAGTGGCACACCCAAGGGCTCTTTGCGCCGTGTTGACGGATATCCTTGATAGTTATTTGAAATTGTGTAAATTTAAGCGTGCGGTGTTTCGTAGCTCGGGACCATAGCTATCTGTACTGAATTTCATTTGACAAACCTTTCTGTATCCATGAAAGGTGAGTGGGTGTCTGTTTGTGCGCGATGGCGAAGGAGCGCGTTGCAAACTAGTCCATATCGCTTCCTTCGCGATCAGAAACTCAATATGCGGCCTTCACGGCCAACATGTAGAGCCAGACCGCAGAACCGGGGCGAGGAAGATCAGCCATTTGTGATGATTCCCGAGAAACAGGCCACCATAGCTTTGAGTGAAGTCGTCAAACGCTTGTTGAAATCTTGGAGGAAGAACCGAAAGTCGGTGCCACTCCTGGAACGTAGGCTGCGAAGGCTCTCATACACTGAGATGGCTGTCTGCACATCAACAGAAGTGCACTTGGCTTGGGGTTCGCTGTGGACTGGAAGCAATTCACGCTGCTTCCACGATATTGGCAGTCGAAGCAGATTCGAAAGGTAGATGTCAGTATTCCGAAGGAGAACCACAATTTGTTGGATGAGATTGAACTGGAAGTGAGACTGTGAAGGAGAGATCAAATGTCAAGGACGATCGGTGAAGTTGCCGGATGGCGCTAAACCGCTTTCGGTTCCCGGCTTTGGAAGACCACCGCACGAGAAGATGCTCTGCTCTAGACATGAAGAAGCCCATCTACATTTGTCATATCCACGTTCAAAACCTATTGGATCAGAAGATATGCATATCATCTATGCATTTCTCTGCATTCAAGTGTATTGAAGCGTCGTGGCTCATCCTATTGCAGCCAGTATCAGAGCCTTGAGCCTCACTCGCCGCGCCCAGCCATATAGCCTCCAGGCATTATGGCTTGGACTAAGAGCGTAGCAGGTATCACAAATACCACTGGGCGAATCCTTGCAGCTGGTAGCTCGCGTTCAGGCAAGCGTACGGAGCAAAATACACTTATCTGGACATCTTTAGCTAACGCAAAACACAGGCACAAGGCAATCCTGAGCCGAGAGCCGCTCCAGCATGCCCAGAAACCGCCCTTTCACTGCTCGGTGTCCATCTTGCAGGCAAGTATACCATTCCTCTCACTTGTCTCAGTCGAAAGCAGCACCTTCGCGTTACCTACTGCCTATCTTGCTGCCTCCAGAGCTCCCAACGGGAGCCTCCACTGCTGCAAGCAAAGCACGCAGGCAGGCAGCGACAAACGGTGTTCAACCACCGCACCGCATCTACTGTTCAACAAGCACACAGCGAACTGTGTCTGCTGATGATATCGCAGGCTCCCGCATCCATTTGCAGCGACCAAACGAGCACCTGACCATCTGCCCACCGATATCACGTCCGTGCGCTGGATAGGCGCGAAAGTTGTTGTTCCGCGCTTTACCGAAAACGAAATGCCCGCAAATCCAGTCTGGAAGGTCGTTGGACGCGACTGACTGCAGCTTCGTCCCGGACACAACAACCCATCAGCCTCCTCATTTTCGAGCATTCCGCCCACAACAACATCGCCCACGCTCCGCTTCGATACGCGCAATAGATTCACCACACATTCTACCACCCCACGCATACACGCGACGCAATGGCAGGCGGAAAGGGTACCTACATCCCGCCGAGACTCGACCTTCGGGCGCATCTGACAGCTGTGCAGGCAAGACTGGAGGCAAGACGGGCGGCAAGGCTGGCGGCGATAACAGCGGCAAGTCGCAGAAGTCGCACTCGGCCAAGGCCGGTCTTCAGGTGTGTATTCCGTTCCTGTTGCTCGACAGGCGAGGCAGCAGACTTGGGTCAGGCGGGCGCGTCGCAAAGCATTTCTCGAGGCACAGTCATACTGCACCACCAGCAAAACACGCAATGAGACCGCGCCCGTCCGATCCACAGCACACTGGCCTCATGACGCGTCACTGCGACCATCGCTAACTGCTCTACCCCACCCAGTTCCCATGTGGACGTGTCAAGCGTTTCTTGAAGTCGCAAACCCAGAACAAGATGCGTGTTGGAGCAAAGGCTGCCGTTTATGTCACCGCCGTCCTCGAGTACCTCACCGCCGAAGTCCTCGAACTCGCAGGAAACGCCGCGAAGGATCTCAAGGTGAAGCGTATCACCCCGCGCCACCTTCAGCTTGCCATCCGAGGTGATGAAGAACTCGACACGCTTATCCGCGCCACGATCGCTTTTGGAGGTGTCCTACCACATATCAACCGCGCTTTGCTGCTCAAGGTCGAACAGAAGAAGAGTAAGAAGGCAGAGGCTTAGTGAGCCCGGGAAGAGTTCAGATGTGTGTGGTAGACATGTCTTTGAGAGAGTTGTGAGTCGAGTATACCCAGTGGAAGGTCAAGATTTTGTTCCGGGCAAATGGAGTTTGAGGAGGAAGGCGTCTAGGTACATGATGAGGCGCTATGAGGCGCTAATGAGTGTAGCAGTAAGGTGATTTTTCGATCGAATACTGAGCTTCGTCTTTCTTTAGGTCAACGGCGGACCAGTTCTGCGCCGTTCGCCACGTCACAGCAGTTCCCAGTCCGTTGTCTCCGTCGACATGCAAAGCATGACACCCTCCTCAGTATACGTCGTCTATCCTTGTCCATGGGAGACTCGTTTGTCAATGGAGGCAAAGCAATTCCAATTCATATCACGCGATATATTTGACCAAATGTTTCGGCTATTCTTGAGCCTGTCTTTCGTCAGGTTGTGAAGGTATGGTGGCATTTTGGGTTGGTACATACACATGGACTTCTGACCACGCTTGTGCGTGTAGCATTGTCCATCACTGATTGCCAAGCGGCTGGCTTTCACTTAGGCCTTACCATTTCGCAGGTTATTGACATCGGCTCGACTGAAAGCTGCAGAGGAAGTCATTACACTCCGAGAACATGCAGTCCAGCAACCCGGCTTTGTGCCTCGTGACTATTGCACACGAGTCCTTACAGGAATATCACGGCAACGGCCACTACCTGGCTGTGAGCTTGAATGCATTGTGCCTTTGTTTTCTACCTTAAACAAAGCCGGAGGTTGCAACTCTCTTTTACCCTTTGATCAGACATGAAAGCATTGTTCAACCTCTGTACTAGCTCTCGCCAGCTAATAACTTGCCGTTATGCCCTGTACTTTGCTCCAACAAACAAATTTCCAACGATACCGAGGCTCCTGACAGCTCACTCGCACCTGAAGCGACCTCGATTCTACAAGATGGACGCTCAACCGCAGGCAGAGCCCCCGAAGTGCCTCATTTGCTTGGATGATGAAATTGAACTGACTGATATCCCAGAAGCCAAAGTATGCGTGCCATGCTTGGAGAGAGCCTTCAAACTCGCAATCAACGATCCTACCAGCTACCCGGTTGTACTCGGCAACGCAGTCCTCAATATGGACTCATTCGAGCATTTGCTCCCTGCCGATGTGGTCACCGCTTTCCGAGCCTCCGAACGAATGCACAGGACTCCTCGACTCTACCGCGTATTCTGCGCAGCTCGACCAAATGGCCAAATTTGTGGGAGATTTCTCATCGACGTTAGACAAGCTCGGCCAGAGGGTACTAAGCCAACTATGGTTTTGTGTAGGCCCTGTCAAGCATGGACCTGTATCGATTGCGGCCAAGAATGCGTCGTCGGATCCGCACATCGCTGCAACACTGAAAGAGAACAAGAACTGCCCGCTCACGAGAAGGGTAAGACGTGGCAGCGCTGTCCATACCAGGGCTGTCAAGCAGTAGCAACTCGCATTGACGGTTGCAACTCCATGATCTGCGGACATTGCCGAACCTGCTTTTGCTGGCTATGTGGTGAACGCGCCCTCCACAGCGATTCCCACTGGTGGGCAAAGTGCCCACGTTTCTCCACCCACGACAATGCCGATGCCAGCTGGGATCGAATTCCTGATGACATGACTGATCGGCGCGAGATCCTCCTCATTTTCCTTCGCCGCCAGTACACATTATACAAGACGAACAAAGCAGAACTCGAAGAGCGGCTTGAAATTTCCATCGCAGCGAAGCTCGATGAGATTCACAAAGCAGAGCGGGAGAATTTTGAGCTGGAGAGCAAATGTCGTATCGCCAATGAATACGAGGACCTCTTGAAGCAGAAGGACATGCGGCTTGTCAATCTGAGGGCCGGAGAGCATGGTATTCGCTACCTTCTTGGCGGAATTATGGACGAGTACTTTGTTTTTGGTGAGAAGAGGGAGCAGCTCCGGATGGTGAACGAAATCACTGGGCTGGATATTCGTGAGGATGAGTTCGAATGGCACGATATGGATTGATAAAGGGGAAGTATTTTCCGCCAATTTTCGATCATTGGGAGACGCCATGAAGGAGGGGCTCGGATTGAGTAGCACGGTGACAACTTGAGCTGTGCCATTAGACTGACTGACTGACATTTGGTAGACTTGCGCCCCTGTTTGAAAATACAAAAACAAATTTCGCTGGTCGAACATTTACTCCAATCTTCATGTTCATAATTTCATTTCATATCGATCTTGGCACTGGCAGATGGCGCGGAGTATCCGATCCTGAAGAAACAAAAAGCCGGCATATGGCCTCGCTCTCCCTACTCGATCTCCTACGATGCTTAGAGCATGATTTACCAAAATCTTTGCGCTACCATGCACAAAGAACTGAGGCCCTTTGTGTAGCTCCTCTTTGTCCTTCATTCCCCTTCGATCTGTCAAGACGCCATCTCGCCCTGGGCATGAAGGCTGTTGAAGACCTCGTCGGCAACGTCTCGATCTGGCTTCGGGAGAGGGTGAATTGGCGTAGGAATAGATCCAAGTGGATCTCTTTCAGGAATGGAGGATCAGACGTAGACTCTGCGAGCTCATCCATCGCATTTCTCGCCGTACGGACCGTATCCTTCAGCGTACCATTCTGATCGTGGCCTCGCGGGTTGAAGCAAGTGCTATGCGGTGAACCTTTTTTCCTTTGTTTCAAGTTCCAGAACACACTTATAGACTCGAGGCGTAACAGACACGACTACCGGACTGTGTCCGCTAAGATTTCTCTGCTCGCTACCATTTAGTTACCAGCATTGTTGACGTTCATATTCTGCAAACAATTATGCTTGCTCAGACAAGTTGGCGACTCATCACCGACTTTAGTTCCGGCAGATCCCCATAAACAGGATCGTCCACTTGTCGTTTTGCTGTTTTGACGCGTAAGTTCTCTACAGGTCAGGGGTTCGAAAGGCGGTTGGTGCGTTCATTTTTTTTTTTCACGCAACTCGTCGCTAGCATTTTTGCTTAAAGCTGTTCAATGCTCGTTCGAATCTCCTTATTATACTGCTCTGCGCGGTAGTTAGAAAGGCAGTCGTCCCGCACGTTATTGTTGTGTGTTGACCACTTCTCTGCAATTTTCGTGCTTGGGCACCTTTAGTGGCTCGGGTCGATTGAGTACTGTAGAGACAAGTAGTAATCAGTGAAATCTATATATCGCGTCAGCAAGACTTTCTCATCTTCGACGGCATCGAACAGCACAAGCCAGCAGAGAAAAACAACATCCGAACAGTAGTCACGATTTCCTTTCTTTTCCATGTCTATTCTCCTCACACCAACTTGTTCTCAAAACTCCCGAACCATCTCCACTCCTTCGCCACCGACCCCAGCTCTTTGAGGGCATTATTCACCTTGCCGCCCTCAGGGAGCTTTCTCCCAACGCATTCGACAAAGAAGACATAGTGCCAGGCGCTCTCCGTGCTGGGCCGGCTGTTGATACTCGTGAGATTGAGACCGAACTTCTTGAAAACAGCCAGGCAATCTGCAAGAGCACCTGGTTCACCGTGGTTAACAGTGAAGGTGACTAAAGTCTTGTACTTCTGTGATTCCTGGTCTTCCGAATCAGTTGACACGGCGGGTGAGGAGTCGATGGGGACGTCCTGGGTATTACGGAGAACCAAAAATCGAGTTGTATTCCCCTCTGCATCTTGGATGTTCTCGGCAAGGAAGTCGAGCCCATAGACCTCGCCGGTAAAGCGGCTGCCGATGGCGGCGCTGGTTCCAGTTTCGTCGGCAGCTACGAGCTCAGCGCCGCGACTTGTGCTCCCGCAGTCTTGCTTCTCAATGCCTTTCAGGTATGTATCTAGGAACACTTTGCATTGACCCCAGGCTTGCGGGTGGGAGTAGACTTTTTTGATGTGGGCGAGACTAGAGAGTGGCTTAACTCTTGGCTTTTGCGGATTTGGAGTGGACTGAGTGGGAGTGATGGCATCGGAGTCTGGAGGGAGAATGTTCGAATCTTTGAGCTTCCGGACACTAGGATGGGAGGGGCTGTTGTTGCCGTCATCATCTGCAGGAGCAGAGTGTCCTAGTAAGCAGTGATGTACCGGGAGGTAGACCTCTCCTTCAACTAGAATGTCTGGGTGGAGATTCTGTGCGTTGACAAAGAGGTCGAGAGTCCATACGACAGAACCGTTGGTAGAATTTTCGAATGGGACGACACCGTAGCGAACTTTCTCGTTCTGGATCAAGTCGAAGACTTCTTTGATGGAGTGTTGCCACTGAAGATCGTATTTGTCCTTTGGGAAAACGGAAAGAGCAGCCTGAAAGGCATCAAAAAAGATTCTGACAAGGACGTATCGCAATATGAGGGAACAGATGCTCAGAGCAACATACCTGATGAGTATATGATGTCTCTGGGCCGAGGAAGGCCACAGCTGGCTTTTGTGTCTCTGACATGATGCCTTGAATGTGTCGAGTTCGTGTGATGATCGCCTGACGAGCAATTCTCCAACAGTGGAGACGGTCTGCCTTTCGAATATTTTCTCTAAGGAGCAGAGCGTGCGGATCCTGATGACAACAGCCTTGCAAAAGTCGATGCCAGTACTGGCGATGGTCCACTATGGCTCGAAGCAGGAATCACAGAGGGTTCAAGAGCGTCGTTGGCACTGATAATGGCCGAAAATGCAACGTAGAGTTGCGTTTTGGTTAGGTAGAGATCTTTTGATGGATCTGAGTCACTCCAACCTTGCTTGGGTCGAATCCAGTGAAGACGACAGCGCGCTATAGCTTGGATACGCGACCAGACGACTTCTAGCGCACTGGTAGTGATAATTACACTGGCAATGGCAGGCGATGCAACTCGGCTTGGCAATGAGCTTGCGGATGCGAAAGTCTTGCTTGAGTTGTAAACCAGCGAAGGCGGTGGCGCAGTGTGGCCTGAACAGGCTTGTCGGCGAAGAGAAGAACGCGTTGACAGTGGCACTGGTGGGCCAGGGTCGTGCGGGTGACGGCAATATGTACGTGATTGTCGTAGATCTCAATGCAAAAAGTGGTGTTGAGAAAGTGGAAGCCGCAGAAAGTTCGAAGAGCAGCAACAAAAGAGAAATGACCAATCAAAACGAAACGCGAAGGTAGAACTTCTTGACTGCCTCATTTGACTATTGACTAGATGACAGCTATTGAGCGCGATGAGGAAGATGCAAGGGAGTATCAAAATTTGGACAACTGTATAGGTGAAGTGCAGGAACGCTGTTGCGAGGTGCAGATGCAGCGCCAAGAAAGCTTCCGCCCACCCTTGAGCATCGGCCAAAAGCACACGAATCCGTACGGCAAGGAGTGTATTGAGTTCGACGATCTAAAACTGCAACAACAATCTGGACTCCACGAAACCGGACCAAGATACACATTGTAGCGAATGCCATGGCTAGTTCATTCCCAATCAGCCGTTTCGGTTTGTGGAAAGCGCTAATTTGGCTCCGTCAACCGCCATGATCTCGTGTCACCTCCACCTGCATTGACTTAAGCTGTTATGCTTGATCGCAGTGGGGTGGAAGTCTAGAAGAGTCAGCAATAGTCGGCAGCATCAGGGTGAGATTGCTGCCTTACCTGTGGTCGGTGCCCGAAGTGCTTATTCGCCGTAGCAGCTTGCTTAGCCAGCACTTTCTGCGCGAATGATGGTTTGGGTTCTGCTCCTTTTGAAGCCGCCGGAGCAGTAGCAGCTGCAGCCTCCTCTGGCTGCGTGGCGAGCGTCACGTCATTGGACTTGACCGTTGCGGTTCGTGACTCCTCGCCTTCTGCGAGGTCGTGTATGGGTCAATCATCGTAGAACTCATCTTCGTCATCATCGGCATTGAGTTGCTCAAAGTTGAGAGCGTAGCGCAGAATGGCGCCAATTCCACCAAATCCGCGCACGAACTGGTTGCCCTCGGAAGAACGATCAGAAACAAATTCCAGCTGAGCACCGAAATCGCGGTACTTCTCGGCAAGCCACTCCAAGAAAGGCATCTGATCAACGACTTCCATCTCCTGGCCAGTATCTTTGTCCATGAAGTTAGAGCGGTCCTTCTCCTGCTCCTTGGACGTGTGCAGGATAACCTCGGTGCCCTCGCTGCTCTTGAGCGTCCAGCGGGTCAACTCCAAGTTCTCGAATACGATCAAAGTCTCAGCCGCACCAGCCTCCAGAGCCTTGAGGGTATCGCCGATACCATAACAGACCTTGCCAGTATCTTGGCTGATTTGGTCGAAGTATTGGTTGATGAGCTTCTTCTCCTGGATGAACTTGACGTTGGAGAGCGTATCAGCAGCCAGTTCGATGGCCTGGTTGAACCCATTTTCGCCACCGTACGAGACATCGACGACCTTGATGACCTTGGCCTGGAGGCGCTGATCGAACAGGTCAGACTGGTTCAAGTCGTTCTTGAAATCAGCAGATCCAGCAAGGACGATACCGGCCACGTTGACCTTGTCGTTGGTGATGAAGTTTTGTACAGCCAACTCGGCGACCTTTCGGACATAGTTGTGACGCTTCTCCTCACGCAGACGCGCGAAACGCAGGGCGGACTGTCCTCCTCGGCCGTGCTTCTTGGGTAGATCGACAGAGAATTTGTGGACGATATCTCTTGTGTTGCCCGCCAGTGTTCCAAACAATGCTCCGTTTCCGTCCATGATGATGAAGCCAAATTTCTGATCGGACTCGAGCAACTCGCTCAGTGCCTCGGTGTGGAACTTGTTGTCACACAGGTATAGCGAAGTGTTGATGGGTTTGAAAGGCTCGAAATCGATGTTGATCTTTCGCTCTTTTCCTTCGGCCGTGATGATTTCACCACAGTACACCACCAAGCCGTTCGGCGGCACTTTCGAGTACAGCTTCAGACGCTGCTGTGTCGATGTGATGGCGGACAGGACGGACAATCGGTTGACGCGCGACTTGATGTTGGAAGCCGTTCCGAATTCTTCAGCCAACATCTTTGCCGCTCGCGAGACCTGGTCCTTGGGCGGGATGATCAAGCTGATCATGCTTGTGCCGTTACCACGAGCCTGCTCCAGACGTTTGATCAATTTCTTGACCTTCCACATCTCGATATTCTTCTCGGCCTCGCCGGCCTTGGGATCGTTGGCGGACATGGCGGCGGGTGGGTGAGCGCAGCAACGTCGCTCCTGGGAGAAGTGGTTAGTGGGGTGAAGCTGGAGCAAGAAAGTGTGGAAGTGGAAGAAATTGCGGGCACGGCGGGCAGCTGCAGAAAGCACATGACCGCGCGCGAAGCTGACAACTCACCTCTCGAGGGCCCTCTCAAAATGCTGCTGTGCGCTGCACTCGTCCGGAGGTGCGATGACTCGAGCAGGCGAGGGGTGGAAGAAAAAGGGAGGACGGGAGCGCTGCCTGATGACACTCTGAAAGCGGACGTCTTGGGACCCGGGCAGAAAATGGGCAGCGATTGTGTCGTTGGGGACAAAATGGGCACAACGTCACACCTTCCAACGCCGCCCAGAGATTCACGTCCCCACAATTCGAGTGGTCGGCCCTCCAACTTCTTCCGGCCGACGCTCCACAGGGAAGCTGATGTTACGGAAGGCCATTAACTAGTTGCACTTCGCTGCAGGGAAGGACATCTCAACGACGAGCGACTGTCACACGGCCAGCAGAAATGCACCAGCTGATGCGTGTGACCATGGCGAGACACGTCCATTCCATACCGCTTCTTTGTGCAAAACATAAAGTTCGCCAGGTCCGCTCTAAAGCAGCCAATCTTGCGCGCAGGCCGACACTACCCGCCGCTCGTGAGCCTCACACGATGGAGGGCGGCTGTTCCAGGTTGTTCGTCGATACCGCACACTTTGTATCTGCCAGGCATCGTGACTAGCTCTGAAGATAAGCCCATGGCGTCCCGACCGTCTACTAATCTGCACATGCAGCCCTCTTCTCCACTTCCAATTACTTTATCATCCCAGAGTGGTGCGCAGTGAGGATCCCGCCTGAAATTTCCCATTGCCCACCTGCTCCTTCATCCGCGCCACAGCCATTGGGCGTGATACAAGAGAGCTTCAACAGCTCTTCCCCCTCCCCGGGCTCCTACTGCTAACTACCGCTGGGCGTAGGTGCGGAGGACTCCTGCGATCACAGACGCGATGCCTGCACAGCGAGGCCAGTTGCCCTCCAGCTGGCAGGCGTACGAACGCGGACGAGCTGGCTCGGCAGATTCTACCGTGAGCAGAGTGCAGTTCGACGAGTCGGCCGAGGAGCACCACCACGCCGCTTCCAATGGCAGCCACATCCCCTCAGCGTACGACAGCGATGGACATCATGTGCGGCGGCGGAGGTCGTCCATTGGTATGGCCGTGGACGCCATCACGCAGGCGGGCGGAGTGAACTCCATTGGCAACTTCGCACGATCATGGCAGCGTGCAGTCGGCTTTCACGAAGTCACTCCGGTGCGGCAGAGCTTCGTGTACGCGAGGGACGACGAAGATGAGGAGGGAGATGAGGAAGAGTCGGATACGACACCAACCGCCCCATCCTACCACCGATCACTGCTCAGACAGCAGCTCGAACAGCGAGATGGAGGAGCCGTGGACGATGCCATTGATGATGGGACGGATGACCGGACACCTACAGCAGAACTGAACCGGACACTGTCCAAGACTACAAGAGGTTCAACGACAGCTGCTACCGAAGACCAGCCACTTCTTCAAAAGATCAACTCGCGGACTCCAGCGGACGATAGCATATTCATGATCGAGCCCCAGCTCGCCTCGCCCTTTGGTGGCAGCTATGGCAGTACCTGGGGCTCGCTCTCATCACGAGTCAACGAGTCTTCCATGCGACATGCAGGTCGTCTTTTCCGCCAACAGCAGTTGAGAGGATCAATGATGCCGGATAAGGAACGGGAGCCACTGATGGTCAAAAAAGTCCAAGAGGACGACGGCAAGGTCGTGCAGGTCATCGTGGGCCAGTCCACCCTACCCCAGACCATCTTCAATAGTGTGAATGTGCTCATTGGGGTGGGCCTGCTCGCACTTCCTCTGGCGATGAAGTACGCTGGTTGGATTCCTGGTCTCATCTTCTTTGGCTTCGCAGGAGCCTCGACATGTTACACTGCCAAGTTACTCGCCAAGTGCGCAGATATCGATAACAGTCTGATCACCTTTGCCGACCTTGCATACGTCTCGTTTGGGCCGTGGGCCCGAATTGGCACATCGATCCTGTTCTCACTCGAGCTCGTGGCTGCATGCGTTGCGCTAGTCGTCCTCTTTGCCGACTCGCTCGATGCTTTGATCCCGGTAGATGGCCTAGGATTGACGGAATGGAAGATCGCCTGCGGAGTCATCCTCGTTCCACTAAGCTTCCTCCCTCTTCGCCTGCTGTCCTTCACCAGCATTCTCGGGATTCTTTCTTGCTTTGGCATTGTTCTTGCTGTCTTGATCGATGGACTCATCAAGCCGGACACTCCAGGCTCTCTGCGACAACCAGCAACAACATACCTTTTCCCAGCGAACTGGGGTAGCCTACCAATCGCCTTTGGAATTCTCATGTCCCCATGGGGTGGCCACAGTGTCTTTCCCAACATTTACCGCGACATGAGACATCCCTACAAATACCGCCGAGGCGTCAACATCACCTACATCTTCACCTTCGGCCTCGACCTCCTCATGGCAGTGGTAGGCCTCCTCATGTTCGGCGATGATGTCAAGGACGAAATCACCCGCAACATTCTCGAGATGGATTCGGGCTACCCAGCATTCTTCTCCGTCTTCATCGTTGTCTGCGTGGCCATCATCCCTCTCACCAAAGTCCCACTCAATGCCCGGCCTATCGTCTCCACCCTTGAACTCTTCCTTGGCCTCGACGCACGAAGTATGGGCGATGGACAAGTCACGCACGGCTGCTCAGGTCTTACTCGCGGAATCATGAAAGTCGCTGTGAGGATCTTATGCGTGGTTTCTTTCGTTCTTCTGGCGATCTTGATTCCGCAGTTCGACACGATCATGAGCTTGCTCGGCGCGATTGCTTGCTTTACGATCTGTTTGATTCTGCCTTGTGCATTCCACCTGAAGCTATTCGGCAAGGAACTGACGACAAGGCAGAAGACGCTGGATTGGGCTTTGATTGTTGTCAGCAGCATATTGGCGCTCGTGAGTACGGCGTTTAACTTTGTGCCGAAGGAGAAATTGGGGATATGATACAACGGGGAGGTTTGAGTGCGCGGCATCATTGAACGGCCTGAGCAAGTTTGCGTGTATTGTTATGATTGTTGGTGTTATGAAGAGGCGGTTGTATAATTCAGTTGAAGCGTTCTGAGCACAGCATGATGGAATGAGATCCGAATCTCAACGCATGTCAATATGCAAACTGCTGGGCAGGTTGTTTGGAATTGTTTAGATCATTGTTTCATGTATCATCATTGATCATCCTGTACGCTGCTGTACATCCTGTATCGCTTCACCTTCCACTTTTCACCTCCTCGCCCTCAAACTATACACATCCTCATTCCTCATCAACCACTCCAACTCCACCTCCTCCTCAATCTCATCTCACCTCCCCAACTCACTCTTATCCACATTCCCCTTCTCCGTCACCACCTTCCCCTTAACCGCAATCCCCCCCTCAGGCGTCTCCGCCCAAATCTCCCACTTCCCACTATCCAATTTCTTCCCCGCAAATTTCACTTCTTCATTACAATACAACGGTGCAACATTCCTATATTCCACCGATTTAATCACTTCATTCCCCTCTTGCGCTAATCTCTGCTGTAATAATGTGACCAAAAATGTGAAACTCATGGGACCGTGGAATAAGAGATTTCGATGGCCTTCGATTTCTCGAGAGTATTGTGGGTCTAAGTGGATGGCGTGGGCGTTGAATGTTAGGGCGCTGAAGCGGAAGAGGAGTTTTGGGTCGGGGAGGATTGTGTGGGTGTAATCTGGTTTATGTTCGGGTTTGAGGATTTTGGTGCCGGGTTTTTTTGAGGCGTCGGATTTTGCTTGTGAGGGTGTTCGGCCTCGCATGAAGACTATGTTTCGAGTTTCGAGGATTGAACATTCGCCGAAGTCTTCTTCGCTGTCTCTCCACAGACGTTGGCGGACGCGGTGGTTGAGGTCTTCTTTTGCTTTTGTATCGTTCATTGCAGCTGCGAGGCGAGAGACTTCGTCTGGGCTGGCTTTTGCGAGGCGACGTTCGATGGCGACGAAGATCTTTTCTTGGCCTTCGGTGCCTTTGATGTCGACGCGGCGGATGAATTCTTGACAGACGCCGCGGGAGCCGTCGAGGAGGAGGGGGTTGTTTTGGTTGTAGAGGACGCGGCCGCCGGCCCACATGCGGCGTTCGAAGGGTTGGCCGGGGCTTTGGTCCGGGTTGGTGCCGTCGGGGAGCATGTCGGATTGGCGTTTGGAGGGTTCGAAGTAGAGGAGGTGGTGGGGTATCGGAAGTTCTTTGGCGAGTTGGGTTGGAGGGAGGACTGGGGGTGGGTTTGTTTTGGGGAGGAAGTCGGCGAGGGTCATGTCGAGGCGGTAACTTGATTGTGGTGAGAGGTCTTCGAATGTGGGTTGAATGGCTCGTTTGGGGAGGTCTTGTTGGAGGTGGGCGAAGGAGGAGTTGTAGCGTGTCCATGATCGTGATTGTAATTGAGTGTTGCGAAGCCATGAGGCTCGCAGTGTTCTTGAAGACGACGCCATAGTGTGTAGTGAGTGTGATGGTAGAAAGAGAAGCAAAAGAAATCGAAGTATGGAAGTTAACGTGTTTGATAAGCAATCTGATCAGACAGCCATCCTGATCAGGCCAAATCAGGCCGAAATCTAAGATTTTTGAAATGCGA